CCTTTACCCCCCTGGTCGTCGGAGATGGTGCGCGAGAGCTCAAACAGGTTGGTTTCCGGTGTAATGACGACGTTTCCGCTCTCGCGGCCAGTCTCGCGGTTACTCGAGGTTAATTTACTCGAGGTGGTTTCACGCGGTGGTCTCGCACGAGACGGAAGAAACATCGAAACCCCAAGCGTTTTGGAAATACGCGGCCGGGCCGCCGGGACACTCTGGACCAGAGGCGTCGGGTGTGCGCAATCCTTGGCGAGCGAGTTCGCTTTCGAATGCTCCGAGGATGCCATGCATCGCGCTCGCCTCGCCAAACCTCGCGGACCGCGACCGCACCAACTGAACCCCGCGGCCCAAAGGCTCCGGCCTAGCCAGGAACGGCACCGAGGTAGGCCCGGTCGTGGGTAGGAGCTGCTCGTTCTGCGCTGCCATGCAGTGCTCGGAGCCCTCGGCGTCGTTCGTGCTTGCGCTGAAGCCTTTAGGGACTCCCTCGGACGCGCAAGTCGCGCCTGCTTGGATGCGTGGATACTTCGACGGCGATCGCTTGGCAGCTCGTGCAATCGTTCCGTCATCGTGGAAAATAAAAAAAGCATGGTGCTGGTGTAGAAAGGTATGCATACATCCTTCAAATGCTTGTCGAAGTTTTTCATGTACCTTACCGCAATTTCACGATCAGGCGAGCCAATGAATTCGGCCATTCAGCCGTCATTCTTTAAGGCTTTTGGTAATTCAGGGGGCGTTCGGCGTACCTTTAATCGCCGCACCAACAGCGTACAGCACAAATACAAGCTCTTGCTATTGCCGCCCTCTCTGCGCACTTATTCCATCGAACTCGTCGTCGAACAAACACTTCTTCGACGTTTCGATATACTGCAGTTCCGACGAGACGGGAGCCGTGTTTACGCGCGCCAGAAAGCCGGAACCGGAAACGTTAAAAAAATAGGCGTCAGATGGCGCCTCGGTACTAAAGTGCGCCGTTAACCTACGCTCCGAACCCGCGCGCTCGAGCGCAGATGTCCGGAGTCCGGAGCTCACTAACTTAACGCGCCCATTCACTCTTTGCAGACTGCGGTAGTTAATAAAAAGAAAAAAACAGGTTCCGAATGAGCTTTTGATAAAATGAACAACCGGAGAAACAGTTCAGTGCGTCTGTGTTCCGGATCAACGAGGAAATAAAAAGTGGCCGAAGTTTCTGCTTCCGTTACGCTGATTCTCAAAAAAATGCGTGAGCATTTTTCGCGGCGGTTATGTAGTCTATAACAAATCATGGTGAATGCAGCCTCTCAGGACCAGGGCCGGCCCATACCCATCAAGCGCCCTGGGCGAACTCTGGCTTTGGCGCCCCCCCGCCCCCCCTTCCTCCCTTTTTATACGCCCCTATATAACGACATCACGTTGTTAGTAAAGATGTGAGTAGTGGCCACGGTGGAAGAAACACATTTAGGAGACGCCACTGGCCGCTTTTCCCGCGGGGAGTGAGCGAACAAATCGTGTTCGGAGCTAGCCCCGAACCAGTAGTAGTTGGTTCCGCGCCGCGGCAGAGTGCGCTGCGGTATGAGGTCCCTCCTCGGCTGCCACGGTGTCGGCGGCGTAGCGTGCTCCCCTTTTTCGCGGTGTGGTGGTGTGGTGGTGGTGTGCGGCCAGTGGCTGGCCTCGTGTTTTGCTTTAGTGCTGTGTCGATCACAGCTGCCACCATCGTGCAGGAAGGTGAGTTTTAACCCGAAGAAGAAGGAAGAAAACACACATTGACGGACTCTGGCGACTTGGTGGCGGCGTGACGGCGCCGCTGCGGTGAGGTACAACAAGAAGCGGTGAGCGAGGGAATGGCGGGACCACCACTGGGAGAACCAACCGGAGCAGTCGGTTTGGCAAGAACCCCACACTTGGGCGCCATCTATCCCCATGCAATTGAAGCGCGTTCGAAGCGCCGAACATAAGGTCGCCGCCGCGTCGGACAGAGAGTCATCACCTAAATGTGTTTCTTCCACCGTGGTAGTGGCACCAAACGAGCGTTTTGACAGACGAGAACCTCATTTCAAAAATTAATGGCGATCGAGCATATGGCGTCATATCGTGCGCCGTCCTCAAATAAACAAATAAAAGCAACAAAAAAAATTCAAGAGGGCTGCGCGGTGGTGCTTTTCTTTCGATGGTGTCCTGAGCAACCGCCCAGGTCGCCCATTCTTAGTGCCGGCCCTGCTCAACACTTTTCTGTGGGGGCGAACATTCCCGAAGCCCCTCTTCTCCCTCGTGCAGGCAGATCACTTAGCGCACGCATGAAGGACGTGCGCGCGATGTGCGAAAAACTACAAAGGCATTTCGTTGTGCATACAGGGGCGACGACACCGTGCACTTACGGCCCGGTGTGACGTGACATGGTAAGACGACTGTGTGTCAAGAATGGCGTGACAGGCCGAAAAACCGAACCGCAGTCCGTGTGAGCACACAGGTCTCCATAGGCGATGCCAGGAGCTTCCAGGGTGTCCAAAGCGCGTACCCGCACGCCGACCGCGTCCTCCGTCCCCAGCTCCACCGGCGATCTTCGGTTGCTAGGGCTGTGGCGCCATCCCGTAGCGAAGTTGCGAACTCTCTAAACATGTGCTCCAATGACGTCTAAGGTCAACGCATGTACCAAAGCACTAATGTTAATGCATTAAAAAAGAGAGAGAGAGAGAGGTAGAAAAGAATTTTCTAGTAAAACTGGTGTTTTTTACAGCGAAGCTGTTATGTGCCAGGATCTGGAAAGAAATGCGTCCATAAATATTAACAAAAAAAAAACAAAAAAACCCGTTTAAACGGTGCTTCTTCGTTCCGATTGGTCGTGACAGGTATAATTACAAAGAGGGGGCAACCCTCGTGAGTCAGCCTTCCTTGGCATTATTAGGTAGAGAAGTCTGATCCCTTGTTATCATCTATGGTCACCGACTTAGCTAAGATTGCGCTGTGACGAGGCTGAGGGCAGAACGCGCCGTTAGCAAGAACGTATCCGAAGTCAAAATACAAGCAATGGCGGTTTACTATAGTGGCCATAAGGCAATGACCACTTTAGGCCCTAAGAATTAAACAAAGAGAATTAAACAACGAAGTTGTGTACGTGTCTTCATTGCAACCATACGTAAATCGTATATATGTCGTATGGTTGAAAAGTTGTCGTAAAGATAACAGCTTCCTTCGTCCCCCATCTTCACGTAAAGTAAATAAATTCAACTTTTTTTTTTCCAAGGACAGCGTAAAGGGGCCCTGCAATCCTATTTAAGCGTCTACCTTTTTTCCGGTTTCCACGTTTCTTGAAGTTCAGGCAAGCCAGCGGGCACGGAGAGGTGCGTTATATTTTAAGCGGACGACGCGGAATCCTCCTCCACCGACGAGGGCGACCCGCGGTACCGAAAGCGCGCAAAATGTGACGTCTTTGGTCCTGGGCTTACTACTGGTCAGAGACGCTAAAAGCTTCTTTTTAGTCGAAATACAAAATTTAAGTGGCGCGAACCGTTTCAATTACTCACAAAAGTAGTTTTTGTTCACTATTTTAGATGAGAAAAGAAACAAATGCAGTTTATAAAGTACGGAAACAAGAAATGACCCGTCGACATACCCGCCACCAAGCGGTGCAAAAGGCGGCGCGTACTGGAAACAAGGAGGTTAGAAGTACTAGGAGGGGGCACGTTGCAATATTGGTGAAGCCTAGTCATAAAAAGTTTAAACGATTTTGTGCCCAGCGTGACCGCAGATCTCTCTGGCAATTGGTGCGCGTGACATGTCACGTGTGAGATGGATGGTTGATTGTAGAAAGACTCCTTGCAGGCTTGCGCGCGCTCCGTCCAGTAGGTTTTATCAGATCGAAGGCTAGACTGTGGTGTATTCTAGTACCCTATAGCAAGACGAAGGCTAGCTACGGTCACGTGATGTGGTCACGTTGGCATGGTAAGTGAGGAGAGTAAGGAGGAAAATGAGAAAGAGGCGAGGCGTCAAGGGAGCATGGCTTGTGGAGGCTACGCGGCCGACGTCATGCCCTCTCCTACCCTTCTATCCTCCTTGACTGGAAAGGAGTAGTGGGAGCGCCGACACGGAAAGGTCCCGGATGTACGCGGCGGCGCTGCGGTCGTATGGACAGGAGGATCCGACCGGCTCCGAGCGTTCCGACCACTGATCTCTATGACAATTGCTGGATCGCGCTTCCCCGCTTGTTCGCTGCAGCGCAAGTGAAGCCCGGTGGCTTCACTTGCGGAAGCGGCAAGCGCGATCCAGCAATTGTCATTGAGATCAGTGGTTCCGACCGAGATGCTTTGTCCTGCGGTTTGGCCGTTTCGCGGTATGGCAGCTCGAAGTTGCTCCCATTCTGAACTGATCTTTACCCCGTGTTTGCTGTCGTTTGTGGCAAATGAAAGGCCGAATTAGTGTTTAATCGCACAGCAAATGCAATGAGAGCCGCTTTGGCTGCCCGCTGCATGCATACAGCCTATGCAGAACATGCTTTAGTGGCGCCCTCTCGCGCCGTCGACACGGAGTGCGGCAGCCGTGAGCGCTCGCGATGAGCACACTGCCCCTCCTCTAGTTCACGGCCGCTCAAGCAACCAAGGACGTCATGAGGGAGGTTATTTTTTGCTTGTTTTTGTCATTTTAATTTGCCTATAACTTTTAAAATACAGCGAATTTTGAGAAAATAAAAGTTTCACTAAGTTACCACGTTCTGTGCGCTTAGGTTCCGTGTAAATTAAAATCCAGTAAAAAAGTCCTTGCAGGGCCCCTTTAAGTTTTGCGTTTTTCGTTTTTCACCGATTATAAAAAAACCGCCTCGGGGGTTAATTTTCGGTGTTTACCTTTATATGCCGAAAACACAAAACCCTAAACATAACACATCTGTGACCTCATGGGGCAGAAATCCAGGGATAATTTACGCGGTAAACACGCCAATCGGAGGCGTATTCCATAGCTGTGGTCGCGTTGTGTGTCTCGCGGACGCTACAGCACCCCCTTGCCGAGAAAAACCAGCCTACTGGAAGACCACGTACCTGACACCGGGGTGATGGGGAACGGTTCCGTTCATCGGGGGCACATAGGCGGCTGCCCTGGCGAAGCGGGAACCCTTCAGTTCGCCGAAAGGAACGCCCAGAAACGCGTACACGCTTTCGCCTTCCAAGGTCTCGACTCTGCCTTGAAACCTTCCAAAGTAGGTTTCGAGCGTAAACTCGGTTCGCCTATAAAGCTTCATCCACAATATCGTCACGACCAGGGTCCCGAATCCGAGAAACAAGACGACGTAGAAGAACCTGAAGAATGTCTCCACAGCACCCCTGGGAAATTGAGAAGAACCCGAAAAACGTCTCGATCCCTGACAACGAGGAATCTAAACATACACATCACACAAAAGACAGTCTGCATACAGATTCGAACGTCGCCGCGAGATCCGTGCTTCGAATGCCACGTGACAATGAGTTCAAGAAAGAAACTTGGCACGCGGCATTCGAACCACGGATATTGCGGTGACTCATGTTTGCAGACTGTCTTTTGTATAATGTATGAGCAGTGTGAACCCGGCTTAAAGTAATGTAGAGGAAGTATTCACTGGCGGCCATAGCTGTGTGCGCAAATGATGAGCGCGTGCTGATGATGGCCAGCTTCCACAGTTATTTTGCAACGTGCATTCCGCACCATCAAGAGTGCCGGTCTTAGCAGCCTATTGATGTGAGCTCGTTCTGAGCATGCGCTCTTAACAGCACCCACAGATATGGCGTCCAGTGAATACTCCCTTTACTTCCCGTGCAAAACTGACGCGGTTTTGTATTTTAGTATAAACACTTAAATCGTTTTCATTTGGCCTCCAGGTTTATAAATATTGATATTATTATTATTATTTTTAATTTGGTACACGGAGAGTGCAGAAAATTATTTTCGAAGTACCGCTGAGGCCCCTTCCTCCCGGAGCGTTACATCATAAAAGAAGTTTTCGGAATCTTCGCTCTCCCGCATCTTCAGAGCCTATCAAAGCTATGCACGTGAAGCCTTGCTACTTACAAAAAGGTAAAAGAACAAAACAAAACAAACAAAAAACATCATGGCTGGTGAGTATGGGGGAATATACGTGCCAGGGGCTTGCAAGTGCACGCGCTGCCAACAAGAGATTCACGCGCTTTTGCGTCCGAAAGATCGATTTATGACGTAACGACTGGTCCGAGGTTTTTCGCGTTTAGATACATTTTCGGGAAAACCGAACGTGACATTCAGATTCACGGGAATAAAATACTCTAGAAATCACATCGAACTCGTTATCTTCAAGCACTTCTTCAGCTTCCCTTTAAATCATCTCAAACGGCGTGATCGCAAAGGCATTTATACTTGCGTGTTTATTTCGGTTTCTTGCGCTGACTGTCATGATTGTATTTTAGGAATAGATATACCCTTTATCGATGCACTACAGCTGAACCCGTTGGGTGAGTTTCGAATTCGCCACAAACTTTTCATTGGAAAGAAGCTAGGTCAGGCGCAGGGTGGAGAATAAAATCATGATGATTTAAATCGGGATTTAAATCCAATCAGTTTTACTGCGATAACTTAAATCAAACCTTTCCCTTCCAAATATTTTCCAAAATATTTTTCTTTTAACTACAGTTTATCTCTAATTTGATAATTTCTATCTACATTTGTTTTGTATCTAAATAAAATATTCAGCAATCAAGGAAGATTGTACCAGGTTAAAATCGTGCAAAAAGCAATGCTTTTTTGAGCAAATCGGAACGTCGGGCTTTCTGTCTACCTTCCATTTATTTCGCCAGTTACGTGGCGTTTGCTTGCAATCAAATCATAGCAAAAAAAAAATGAAAACATTAAAAGTAATAATAAAGCAAATCAAAACGTACAAAAAGAGGTGGTAAAGGTTTGTAGTATCTAAAAGGACAAGCTGCTCTTGTTTTAGTTTGGCAGGGCCTACATCACTAAAACGTTTTCAATGAGAGTGGATTTTAAATGTACAGTGATTATTTTGTCCCCATTGTTTTTAATATTCTGATGGATTAGTAAATGTACCTACCATGTTTAAAAATACATATAGCAATCTAATTTAAATAAAGTAAATTTGATTTAAATCACATATGTCTTCTTTATATTTTCAAAAATAATGTGTTCTTTTTACTAATCTGGTCAAGTGGTTCAGCTAGTACTTATATTGATCAAGCAAGGAACGTGGCCCTTCTTGGTGCAGCTTGCTGCGTTCGATTCATACCTGCACTAGCCTACAACGGCGCAGAAAAGGGCAGGGCGTAGCAGAAACTACTTCCGGTTTTCCGGTCTGCGTTTTTAGATAGACTGCACTCATAAACCAAATATGACGGTGTGCACCCGGTGCAGCGGGTGCAAGAGCTGCAGGTAACTAAATTGAACACAGCTAAATTGAAACCCGCCTCTTCATCGAAGGCGGGAATTTCAATCAGAACTTCGCCTCTTTTGTCGAGTATAGATATCCACGGGCCTTTCCCACCTTCGCTTATTACTTGTATTCTACATTTGTTGAACAGGTTGCAGGAAGTAACTAAAGACCTTAGAAACGCTCTATTTTTTTTAATAAACTACGTTATCGTTTACTTACTCTTTGTATGATGGCCGCAAAAGATCCAGAGTGGAGGTGTCGTCCGTTGGCGATAGCCTGAAATACCCAATCATAATCATGCGAAAATATAGCGAAGATGTAGCAATAAGTACAAAACGAACGTGTTGGTAACGGTAATTAGACATGAGGAAGATTCATAGAAAGGGGGGGACGGACGGACACGAAGACGGCGGAAGTCTTCGTGTCCGTCCCCCCCTTTCTATGTATCTTCCTCATGTCTAATGTAGCAATACTTTGGGGGTTTTCAAAGACACGTTTGAAGCACCAAATTATGTTGACGAAATGATCATGCAGTGTCCTCGTCACCACAACATTAGAAACGTGGCTCGTGAAACGAGGCACGTGTTTTTTTTTTTAATGTCTTTTATGTCTTATTTACACTCGCAAAATCGCGGGCGGATCCGCGCGGATTTTTGACGCCAGGTGATAGAACCCACTCGCTGCCTGCGAAATATTTGGCCGCGAAGGCAATCGGTATACGAAAACCAATCTTTCCCGCAAGGAAAAAAAATAGACATTTCCGCTCGCCACATCCCATAAGAACGCATAGAGGGAATGGCGTTTTCTGACGTCACATTCGGCCCGAGTCCACCCAAAACCAGCTAGAAGACAAGGTCAGCGCACGTCTAACATAGCGCCAGTTGTGAGACGATGCAAAACTCGCAGTAGACGATGGTGAGGCGTGGTTTTATGCAGCGCCACGTAAATCCACTAGGCATGACGATTTTTTTTTTTTTTTTAGGGGGGCGCAGGTTTAATTTTTTATACTTCGTTTCACTTTAAGTCCAGGCGCAGTCGACGCCACCAGCTAATTGGACCGATCCAGCAGCGTTTGACCTTTCTTGCTTATGGCTGGTTCGGCGATGATAGAACACGTAAAAAACACGATAACATCATGATGGTGCTTTTTTGACGCTGTCTGGTTGGCACTATTAAAGCCCCTGTATACGGAAAAGTAGCGACATCCTTTGAAGAATGCCGCCTGCTATCTTGGAGCGATCCAGGCGGCGCTACCGTCGACGCGCGAGCGCGAAAGAGCAAAAGATAACAGGGAGTTTTCGTAGATCGTTTTTGCCGTCCCGCAACGCCCTCCGCAACCCGCTACGTTACCCGGAACTGTACAGTCAAGGCTATCGGCGCGCAGGCGCAGTAGCAGCTTCTTCGTTGCGGAGGGCTTAGCGGAGGTGGAAACGCGGTCTACGAAAACTCCCCAACAATAAAAGTGTGCATGAGGGACGAGAAGGGAGAAGGAATGCCTATTCTGTCGGAGTGCAGTGCGTGCTATGAGCTCATGCCGCCAATCAAATAACGCCGACTGTGCAACGTCACGGCTTTCATTGCCTTTCTTTGAGCACATTCTTCGCGGCTGGCAGATCGTGACAGTGCGCTTTTAGCCTGTGTCCATGTATTTCCGTGTCTTCAAGCCTTTGACTGCGCTCTGACTCAAGTATAGGAAGGCCGTCTGCTATCTTAGAGCGTTCCAGGCGGCGCTACAGTCGACGCACGGGTGCGAAAAAGCAAGACATAAAGATAAAAGGTGTGCGCGTCAAAGGAGGAGGGAGAAGATGTCGCTACCTTTCTTATTCAGGGGCCTTAGGCACTATCAGCTCGCAGCGTCAGCTACGTCTGGACTTGAAGATGAAACCAAGTATAAGTGGTATTGGTTCACCTGAGCTACCGGAGTTATCCAGTTTCAAATGGCGCCGTCTCGCGAGTGTCGTTGTGCAGCAGATGTGCGTATGAAGATTAAGGAAATATTCGATGCTTTATGCGGGGAATTCTCGCAAACTTTTTTTCTATCTCGAGATCTTCCCTGAACGGCTGCCGAGAAACACCTCCCAGTTTTGGCGCGTTGATGCGGTACAACAGTGACCGAAGCCTACAGACCTTGTAATTAATAATGCACGTACAATTGAAAGTGTTTTTTTGTTCATCGCGACGCATCCATTAGGGACGGGGGGGGGGGGGGGGGGGGGATGATGTGATTCGTTAAAATAGTGCTTAAACTCGAAATATGCATATTTTTGGGCAGAAACAGTGGAGGAAAGTAGGAATTTCACAACCTTAGGGAACCCATGAGGGTGAAAAACTCCAAGGAACCCGGTTTGAGAGCCCGTGCTTTATGACAAAAAAAAGTTGCGAACTACACAAACAGCACCCACAAGGAAGGTCTGTGGAACAAAACTGACGCAGTAGTAGGCTTAGTCAACCATAGTAGACCGTAGACGACACACGTTGTGTCCCATCTTCACTTTGTTCGGTTACTGAATTTTCGTATCACCAAGACAATACAAGACGCTCTCTCGGCACTGAGGAGTTTTACCTATTTTATACCGCGTGGCATTGAAGCGTCGGCAGCGGTTTTTCAAACACTGCAGGACTAGAGGCTGTCTTTGAACGCCTGCTGATTTCAGTCCTGTGGGTAGCTTCCCGTGCACCTATATATCGATGTTTTTTTATTTGTTATTAAATTCAAATTAAAGTCTATTTTCGCTCAAAGTCATCCGTAGGATGTATTACATAAAAAAGGGGGGGGGGGGGATTAAAAGATGGGCAGACTGTCACATAAAAGAGTAAGAACGAGCATCTCTGGGCGCGAATGGAATATCGTGTAAGCAGCACGCAAGGAAGCACAAAAGAAACAAAACAAAAGCACTACATGTTTAAAACCTCTTTGCATTTAGAGCGGAATGAAATAGGATTATCAGTTACAATATTTTCATTGAGTGTACTCCATGTCAGTGGTGCGCGGGGAAAGTGGGGAACATTTATGTCTATTAATTCGTTGCATGCGGTTAAATTTTAAGAATATGGTCACACCGCTGAGATATGTAAGAACGATGATAACAATATACGTAGAGCTTATATGAGGCAGTTTCTGATACTTGTTATGCCAGAAGCACAGTCGAGACAATTGTCCACGTGTTAACAGGGTCGAAACATTTAATTCTGATTTGAGGTGTGTTACGCTTGCGAGGGGTGAATTGCTCTGATGGATGAAACCTGCGGCTTTGTTCTATATATTACTTCCATGGGTATCTATAAATTTTATCTCTTAGCTTCGCTAAGGTTTTAACGTGATATTGGGATAAATTTGTTTCTATTTTATACTTTGCACATAAACGATATTTGTATAAATCAGAAATTTTCATCACACCAATTTTACTGAAAAGATAATCGGTTGGATGTTCTAGTGGCACATTAGAGATACTTCTTAATATCTTTTTTTGTAACATAAAGATTTTGTGGAGGTTAGTATAGGTAGTAGTGCCCCATATGAGTTGACCATAATTTAAATTTGAATAAAATAATGAATTATATAATATTAACTTTGTTCTAAGCGGTAGAGTGTGTTTATAGGCTAAAAGGCTGATGGAAGTGGAAGCCTTATGCAAATTGCTTAAAAAGCCCAAATTGAGCGCTGATTTTTTCAGCATATCTTCAATATGAATGTTCCAAATGTTAAGTAATGATAATAATAATTATAATAGCTTTATTTTTTCCCAACAAAATACAATGTTGAAAAGGTGACATGGGAAAAAAGCTGTAAAAACAGCTTGACGAGCCCCGAGCCACCTATACCAGCAGTCGCGATGCAGGTGCCAAAGAAATTATACAAAAATAAAACATGACATGTGTACTACATGTTTGAGAAACTTGACAAAAAAAAGAGCTGGCGCTATACAAGATAAGTAGCATATTCATACAATTTACACAATAGCGAAAACATACACAGGACGTTAGGACATCACCGAAATAAACGCGAAAGAAAACATCGACGATTCAAAAGATTTTAGCGCTTATTGCGGACAATGTGGCTAGAAATTAACATTTGAAATAAACATTTCCCGTAAGATGCTCACCGATATATTGCTTAGCTCAATACCTTGCCTAGTAAGCTGGTTAAGGGTAGTCGGCAAAGTATATTTTAAACTTTGGTGGCCGTAATTTGTTCTAAAAAAGCGTACTTCCCAAGGTTCTTTAATTCGTGTTGGGTATCTATAAATTTTATCTCTTAGCTTCGCTAAGTTTTTAACGTGATATTGGGATAAATTTGTTTCTATTTTATACTTTGCACATAAACGATATTTGTATAAATCAAAAATTTTCATCACACCAATTTTACTGAAAAGATAATCGGTTGGATATTCTAGTGGCACATTAGAGATACTTCTTAATATCTTTTTTTGTAACATAAAGATTTTGTGGAGGTTAGTATAGGTAGTAGTGCCCCATATGAGTTGACCATAATTTAAATTTGAATAAAATAATGAATTATATAATATTAACTTTGTTCTAAGCGGTAGAGTGTCTTTATGACGATATAGAACACTGACGATGCTAGATAATTTTGATACGATATGATTAATATGGTCGTCCCATGACAAATTTTCTTGAAAAATAACGCCCAAAGTTTTAAATGCGGGAACAATTTCTATCTGAGAAGAATTTATAAAAATATCCTTGGTAACATTAATATGTTTATTCTTAGGTCGGAATATAACCGCTTTTGTCTTAACGGCGTTTATTTTTAATGCATTATGTCTACTCCATCTATTAAGCTTTTCTAGTGTTTCGTTCACGTAATCAATAAGCTCCGACGCATCATCACCATCAAACAGCAAGCTTGCATCATCTGCATAAATAAAAAAATGAGTTGAGTGACTAATATTTACGATATCATTTATATATACATTGAATAAGAATGGCCCGAAAATGCTTCCCTGGGGAACCCCTGATTCAATCGGTTTTATTTCAGATGAGTGGCCGTTTATATGAACATACTGTCTGCGGGAAGATAAATATGAACGTAGAAGTTTTGATACATGACCACGAAATCCATACATATCTAACTTCTTTAGTAGCAAATTATGATCTAGATAGTCGAACGCTTTAGTAAAGTCTACAAATAAGCCGAGAGTGAGTTTCTTTTTTTCAAAATTTCTAAGTATATGTTCTTTTTGCGCAAGGAGAGCCAGTTCTGTGGATCGATGTTTTCGAAAACCAAACTGCGACGAGCTAATTAAGTTATGATTATCAGCAAATGTTGTCATTTGAAGTAGTATAACTTTTTCTAAACCCTTAGAGAAAACAAGAAGAATTGAAACGGGTCGATAATTGCCCAGTTCGTTTTTATTTTATTTTTTATATAAAACTGTTACCTTCGCTAGTTGCATTTGACAGGGAAACTCACCGTTTATGAAACAGAGATTGAATATATGTGCTAAGGAAAGAGAAATAAGGTCAATTACGTATTTAATTGGTTTGATCTGCAATCCATCGGGGTCGCAACTTTGGCTAGTTTTTAGTACATTAAAGACAGATATTACCTCTGAAGCCGTAACAGGCATAAGAAACATGGATTCATTATTTCGAGCATTTATATATTTGCAAGCATCTGACTCTGGACGTTCTTTAACTAGACTTACATAATAGTCATTAAACGCATTTGACAATGCTTGTCCTGACAGTTCTCGATCATTGTGGCTGATCTTTAAAACTTGTTTTGTGGCGCACGAACGACCCAATACAGAGTTTAGTTTTTTCCACACAACGTCGACTCTATTATTACAAGAAAGAAAAAAGTCACAAAAATACATTTTCTTAGCATTTGGGAGTTCTTTGTTTAATTGGTTTCGATAACGTTTAAATACTGTTAGTTCTTTGAGTGATTTTGTTTTTACAAGTTTTTGATATAACGCATTTTAGTACGAATTTTTGTGAGCAAATTTTTTGTAATCCACGGTTTACGACGTTTTCTATGAGTGCTTAATTTTTTATACGGAAAGCAGCTTTCATATAGTTGTTTGAATTTGTTCAAGAACAAGTCATATGCTTTATCTGCGTTCGTTTCATGAAGGACATCATCCCAATCCGTACAAGATAGTTTTTTCTGAATTCGTTCATGTTATCAGGCGTTATATTCTGAAACTGTATAGCTAACTGATCATTATATTTTATGTTTATAGTTAGATTTTTCTTTATACACAAAAATATACCCAAGTGATCGCTTATATCAGCTATCACTACGCCAGATTTAATATATGATGTACCGTAGCTTGTAATAAATAGATCTAATAATGTCGATGATTCCGTTGTAACTCTTGTAGCAGTATTTATCATATTTTCGCATCCGTTTGATTTAATTCATTAAGTCTTAAGTGAGTGTTATTCCAAGGTATTTGTAAAAGGGTACCTTTTCATGTTGGTTCTGTTTAGTGTATAGTCCGCATTGTAAAGGCCGTTTTTATGATTAAATGCAATAGGTATTTTTTTTTTTTTTTTTAGAAACGGTTTGCGTTTTTCTGAACTTGCTCAAGATTTGCTGTATATTTCTATTTGCCTTTCCTGCCAGGACCATTCGTAAGCTCTACAGAACACAATAAATAAATAAATAATAAAAATATTAACGCAGGAACGAGCCAGCATGGACTGGCAAACAAGGGGTGTTCGCAGAACGCTCAAGAGACCAGACCCGCGTGGGCGCTGTCGTGAGGCGAAAGGTACGGACTATTTCCGCCGAGCGAATTCCGTCGGCGGCAAGGGTGTTTTCTGCAAGCCTGAAGGAGGCCCACAAAAGGTTTGAGGAATACCACGTAAGTGACGCGATTGAAGCAACGCTGCGATAATCACCAACCAAGATCTCCAGGTGGTGCTCCCTTTCTTGGACTGCACGGAACTGCTCTCACGTGGTCTCAGTGTGAACGCAATGCGGCGTTTTTTCGCCGGTGTTTCGGTTGGCGAAGGCTTCTTCGCTTCTTCGTCGGATGTTGTTATACTGCGAGACAAAAAAAAAATTATCTCGAAACGCAACTGTAAGGTGCGTAAGTTTAAGCAGACCCATTAACACCGGGAAAGTTCAGCGATCTCTTGAAGATTCCAGACTCCCAACCAACCACGGCTGGGAGTCTGTCAACCTGAAAATGGTACGTTACCTAAAAACCATCTTGTGCCATGTGCCATCGACCGGTAACGAATCATGAACTTCTATTGATAACTAGCATACTGTGCTATCGCGAATGCTGCTCTATGTAGTAATTTACAAAATCCACCCAGCAACCACAATCTGCGCAGGGGCGGACGCAGGTATCTTCAGAGGGGGGGCGGGGGGGGGGGGGGGGGGGGGGGGGGCAAGCGTATCAAGATCCCCCCTCCCCGTTTCCCGGCCATAAATAATTACACATGCAGAATTCAAGAGGGAGGTCAGGACATCCGGACCCCGCCTCTGAATGCGCCACTGTCTGTCAGCGCAAACGGATCTGAAGTTTAATGGGACAGTGGAGTTAATTTTTGTTTCCTAGTGACGATAGATTTTTGGCTGTCATTTTTACTCAGAGCTGTTGACACAATTATGCGTCTAATATTGCCTTCACAGCGCAAGAAAGCAATAAAATGTTACCGCGCGCAGGGCCGAGCAAGCGGCTCCCGGTCACGGAATTCTAGAAGATTTACGTTTATTCTTACTCGTGGTCAGGACGAACATCTTCGTTGCTCACAACGTGACCTACGAACTTAAGGTCGCCGTGGGTGAACGGGCACTTCGCCGGCGGTTCTAATTGCTTGAAGAACGGCCCGAAGGCGCCGAAAGTACTCGTCGAAGTTGGCTGAGAATACCACGACGTCGTCGAGGTAAAGCAGACAGCTGTGCCATTTGAAGCCTGCCAATACGGTGTCCATGACACGCTGGAGCCGTACACAGTGCGAAGGTCATCACCTTGAAATTGTACAGTCCATCGGGCGTGACGAAGGCAGTCTCGCTCTCGCTTGCTGTTACGCCGCCAAATCGTCACACGGTTTTCTGCTGTCTCGCCGAGCTCGTTCTTTATTTTCTTTGGCACAAATTCGCGTATTAAACTTTTTTTTTAGTTCACTCCTTTTTGACTTGTTGCTTCTATTCGTGACGATATGTCCTTAAATAATGCACCGGGGGCCACGTCTCGTAACGCTAGAGAGTGAGTAAAAACAGCCGTAGCGACGTAACTAAACTATGGAGACAAAGAAAACAAAAAAGTAGAACCTACAGCGTCAAGGACTTTCGAAAGATTAAGAACGACTGTTACGAGCAACAGCAATCGACAGATTCGAGTGATATTTATAAAATCACTCCAATTGTGACGCAGAAGAAAATGGTGCATTTTTTTTTTTCCTTACGGTATTTTAATTTTTGAAAGTCCCTCTGTCAAAATACGGTCGTCTAAATATTTGGCAAAACTACCTTTACTTCACAATCCTCCCATCTTTTGCGAGGGAGATCAAACACACAAAATCCTTGGTTTTAAGTAGTTTTTTTAATGTTTGGTTAAAATGCAGTGTTGGGCTAGTTTCACTCCCCAACTTTCTAGGACATCAATGCCGATCGGCACATGCTCTAAAATGAGAATTTCAACTGAACATCGCAACAACAAACATATGTTCCTCAGTAATATTTTAGACGAAGTCATACAACATCAATAAGCAGTAATTAAACATTTTAACGCGTATAGTTTTTATTTCACGGCTCTACACTTTTTGTTTTGCATTGGATTCTATAGGCCTCGTTTACAAAATTATAAGTGTCAACTTTTCTTGATAGAAGATTGGGATGTTCTCGAGTACCGTAATTCCTTGGTATCATAGAACACAGATCAATTAGAAGTTTAATATTTCCTCGAAATCTTTTTATTCAACGGAATGTCCCAGAATGTGGGCCATTGAAGTTCAATTTTAACGTAATGCAAAAAAAAAAAATATATATATATATATATAAAACGGGGACGACGCAGACGATGACAACAGGTCACAGCGCAACTTTCAACTTAATTATCTAAGAAAAATAATCACATATACATATCAAGATTTTACAAAAGCGAACAAGTGCTTGCATAACAAAGTGGAGGTATGATAATCAAATCTAATCGTGCCTGAATCAAGCATTATGGTTGAACTCCTTGTCTAACAATAAAAATGAAAGGGCTCTGACGCAGGCGCTGCTGCCATACAAGTTCATTAGACATGCCTCATAGATTCGTCGGGCTTATTGGCGCGAGAAATTCACGAGCCACTTTTGTTTGCTCTTTTCAAATGAGGGCAAAATCTACGTCATTGTCGCAAGGAAAGGTGGCGGAAAAAAAAAACATGTAAAGTTCGCGAATATAACCCTTTTTATTACTTTCCTTGACTATTATTTTTTTATATGCTAAATTTGATGGAGGTGCTGACGCTGGCTTCTGAGTGCCGTCCTAACTTATTCATCAACGCAAAAACTCAAGCATGGAATAATTTCAGGTTTCCGTACCTTTTGGTCGAGAGCTCCTTTCCGTGGTCAGGTCGGAAGCATGAGGCGGAGCTGAATATAATTAACGTAAACCTTAACTTCTTTCTGGATACTTTATACCATTCTCTATGCAAGTATCACCACAAAAATCACTCAAAATAACGTCCTTCTGAGCGCACTCCAGGTATTTCTTTGGGACCTCATGGTTTCGGTGAAATATATTAGGTCCTCAGAAAAACAAGATGGTATTCTAGTACTTGCAAGACGTTATATTTCTTAAATACCTCTTAGTGCTAGGACATTTTCATCTGGTTCATACATTTTTCGTACAACCCCAAAAAATATTTATATTTCCCTAATTATGGGCTCGAGAGCTCTTCAGAGCGGCACGTGCTTTCACTTGTCAAGCGTCTGTTCGATGGGTGTATTGATCTTATATGTGATGCTCGCTCTCGTTCAGGTCCCGTACCCGCGGGCCTGCTCATACCACAAGAACAAGACATTGGCGGAATTTTTTACTTATTATTTCTTATTGGGACCTAAAGTAGGGAGGGGGTGGATTAGCTAAACACGGCACAATGATACCTGCTGGAGTCCTTGTGCCGCTTCCAAATGTTTCTTACGCAAATCGCGTAAGCAAATGTGGGAGATAGAGAAAGGCTAGCGCGCGGATCACTGAGGCGTGTTTGCCTATTGGCCCGTTTACTTAATTACTCCGCAATTTTTTTCAAACACGCTACACAGAGCCGTTTATACTGGGAGAGTTCGGCGGATGGGAGGGGCTTACGGCCCGCTAGGTTTAGCGGATTCAGCGGGTTCCGCTCCCGCCATGATGTGCCTCATGGCAAGTGGGTCGACCCCACTGACGTGCGATGCATACGCGTGTAGGTTTTGCCGTTCGCGCTTTTGTTGTCCTGAGGAGAAAGTCGGAAAACAACCATTTTGTGATTCGGTTCTTTATTCATGTAAAAACTAGCAAACAAATCGCCCATTTACGAACGGCACTCGTTTATAAATGGGGAATCGCTCAAAAACACCCGACGTCCGATACAGCTCAGCGGCCTTGTGCGCATTTTTTAGTGGGTAAGTTCGAATGTCTGGATCGCTCCCCGCCTGTTTACCACATCACAAGGTTTGTGCACCGCTGTGCGGAATACGGCAGACCGATCGTGATTTTCCGCCGTGCTTCTTCACCTGCCGCTCTTTTGGTGTTTTTTTTTTTTTTTTTTTCTGACATTGTTTGGTTTGCTGCGAAGAATCAGCGTCGGCATCGCGTTGTGCCTGAGCTTTTTGGCATCGACAACCGCTTTCGAGTTCACTGTTTAAGGAATGCACCTAAAAAAAGAAAAAAGCATGACAAATAAGTATTTACTACGCGTATAAAAAAAAAAAAAAAGAAAGATATCACTAGCGAGGGAAAAGCGCTTGCGAGACGGCGAAGCGGAGCTACCAGGCCGCTTCTAAAAACTCGACCGTAGAGAAAGCTACGAGAGCGAGATGAATGCTTTCAACGGGTCGACGGAGCGCGTGCGCTCGTACAGTGCACGCGTCGTTTAGCGCAACGTGCACGTGCTTGCAGCGAACGGCTCCGCTCGCACTTACACTGAAATACAGTATACACAGTTCAAAGTTGGCAAGCTATACTTCGTCTCACCTTAGCATGGACTATTGTTAGCCGCGCGTGCCAAAAGCCCGAGCTAGTTGCTTTGGATGAAGCCTTGGCGACTGTACGAGCGCTCGTGCAGCGAGTGCTCCAGTCAAGGCAGTCGAAGCTAGCCGCTCGCGCTTGCACAGGCTTCCCAGTTAGTCCGTGCTAAGGTGAGATGAAGTATAGGCCGCTCGCAAGTATCAGGTCTTGCGCGGCAAGACACGGCTTCGTGATCAGCGAACACGCTCGCCTGACGCTGCCGCGTCAAGTCGCGGCATAGTTTTAGTCAAAATAAAACGCGTTTAACTCACAAAATAAATTAATTATAATATTACCTCGCACCATCGAGAACTTGAAGTCGGCTTCCACTTAGCCCTCCTTGTTTTGGCCTCCCGGGTCCTGTGCCTTGCAGGGTTTTCTTTTTCTTGCGGGAACCGGTACATCCTGAACCCTTCTTTCGCGCTGTTCGAGCACCCAACGGCACTACAGCACTCTATTACGTTTTCTTCTAACGTTTCCCGCAGCGCAGAGCGATCATTTTCACCGTCGTCTCTCGCTCCACCCTAGTCAGACGGCTGCCGGCTCGAGACGACAAGGCACATCATGGCGGACGACGAGACTCGGAATGCAATGCGCACAGTTGCCAAGCTGTTCGATCAGTGCTGCCAGACTGGCTGCTGGATCAATAGACCGCCGAACTCTCCCAGTATAAAAGGCTCTGACGCTACCCGGTCAGTAAATACGACAACTCCCCCCCCCCCCCCTTTTTTTTTTCCTCTTTTTTCTCTCTCCCCGTAAACCAGGCGATGTAACATCAATCACAACGCGCCAATCAAAGAACCATAAATGGCTCGTTGAGTTATTTCACAAGCTTTTCTGAATACGTGTCCGGTAGGAACCAGCGTTCTCGGCTAGTTGACGACGAAGCACCTCGCATAAACAGGGATTCTCTAAGCTCCCACAAAAGCTCCCGCAATCATGGTTCTCAGTTCGGACAAATGTTCCTAGAAGCACTGCTCACTGTATTCACATACAAGTTAAGAATGCGCCAGAAGCTCCTCCCACACCCCCCTTACCGCCAGCCAGTGCTCCTACGCAAAGCGATATAGTATGCTACCGAAGCGCACATCGCCCTAACGTCTGCGTGGATCGGTTTGTACTGCTTACCCTCAAGAAAGACAAAACAAACTGGACACAGAAAAGCAACAACAACAACGACAAAGCTTTATCTAACTATCCGGGTAAAAACTGGGAGAGAGGAGGAGGCGAGAGCGCGCGCAGACGCCAGAGGGACGAGCTCTGACTGGAAATATTAGAGGGTAAACTCAAAGCTAGCTGCCTTTGTATCTATTTACTCTTCGAATGCGTTCGAATGCCGCGCGTTATATAACGTTGCCGTCTTCCGAAAGGAAACAATCCGGATGCCATTCAGGGTTGCCACAACTGTGTGCTTTGATTGTGGTGTGCTCTGGCAATGCCTTGGAGGGACACGGCTCACCTCTTGACCGAGTGTGTTTCCCTGCCCTGTTCAGTCCTCAGGCCCGACCCGACGCTGCTCCCGTGCACGCGCTCGTTGTAGTAGGGCGCCGCCCCGACGTCCAGGGTTTCGTCCAGCATGCAAGTCTCGCGACACGAGATCAGGTGGCCGCTCAGTTCGCGGCTAACATGACTGCCAGACTGTAGGAAAAAGAACGGAACAATAAAATTGCGGCACTACTTTGTTCTGAACTGAGAAAATTACGTTGTGTGAGAGCGTGTTATCGTCGATAACTTTGTGTAACACACGGCCGAGCTGAAATTTTGGTCGCGGCTGATTAGAAGCGTCTGGGATTGAAAACTGATGATTTTGAGTCCTGTGATTTCCCTACACATCCCCTAGGGGGAGTGTACACCGCCCCCCTTGTTTTTTTGAAGGCACCTCCTTAATTTGGCACGACTCCTCTATTCTCAATGCCTCTCCCTAACCCCCGTCCCTCCCGCCCCCTCCCCCTAAAAATTTAGAAACTCCCCCTATAATTTCAATTCGTGCGGAAATCCCTGTTTGAGTCCGAACACTGTGAGGTATCTCACGGTGTGCGCATGTCAGGTAGGATCGCGTACCTTAACTTCTGATCACGTGAAAGATACCTCTTCTAAAATCAAAGCGATATATACGGCATACTGCCGCGCAAAGCATATTGGTAACCCATTGGCCCCTAATACCCGTGCCACACGGGCCACTCGAATGCCATTTACAACGAATGATATTTGTGTGATCGGCGAATCAGTTCGCAATCTGACGGGCGTGGAATGCGCTACGCCCGGAGTGTCGCGCGCTGATTGGTCGTCCGCTCAAATGTCATTCGTTGTAAGTGGCATTCGAGTTGCCCGTGTGGCACGGGTATAAGTTTCGGTTTCGATTGGCCAACCTCACTTCACGACTTCCCGTCCCGACCGAATACAGTGCTCGCATTTTCACATATATGTGACTTTCCTTAAATTTATGATCCTGTAGCTGTTACCAATACGGAGAGAATGCTGGGGTACGCGTTTATTCGGGTGTCCAACTTGCCAGAGTTTGTCCGCAGGTAAACACGTACCACTACAATCGCACATGGAACTTGGAAGAAGGAGTATACTGGGCCGGTCATCCTGTTCCATTCTCTTCTGATTGCCGTAGATTTCTAGAAGTGATCTGTGTGCCGGGAGGGTTATGCTGCTCTATGGAGCTGCAGCCAGGCCGCCAGAAAGATACGGGTCGCGACCAGCCGTACTCCTACTTCCCGCTAAGCGTAGGCAGGCCCTTATGACCGCTGGAGGTCCGTGATTCAACGGGGCAATCACGAAGATAAATGGGTACAATGCAAGCGAGCGCTGACTTCCTTTTCATGCGATGCTGAGATACACTGCTTCGTCAACAGTGCAATCGAAACTGAAAACATGTCACTCCTCTCCATGACCAAACAGGTCCCATTATGCAACGTGCGCAGTGTCGCGCGCGGGGATTTTTGGAATTGGTCTATTTGCTTTTCGGGTACATCCTATTGTCCGTACTGCAAAACTATCGAGAATACAAAGAACTACTTTTTTTTTTTTTTGGCCTTTAATATATGAGCCGGCGACACCGTTATTTGGCGCAACTATTCTCAACGCTGGGTATTCCTATCACTATGCAGAACATTCTTTCGTTTGAGGCGATTTCCCTTCGCTTTGCACATAACGCTCTTTGCACAACCATCTGCGATTACATTGCCAAGACATTACAGTCTCAATGCAAACATCAAGTTTATGTAAACAAAATCTACACAAGTGGCTTCCGTTATTGTTTTTTATCGCACTGCCTCTCGACCAATCCCCTCCTTGGCCCAGCGCAAAGAACGCAAGAATACAAACAACACGAAATCATCATGCGTAAAATACTTTTTTTTTTTTTTTTTTTTTTTTTATTTAGGCGTTTTTGCACCGAAACTCATAACGTAATTTCCGGCGAAAAAAAAAAAAAAAAAAACATTGGCTGTCGTTGTGGTTGTATGTTGGCATACGCCAACCAATAGGAGTGATTGTTACCCGCAAGGGAGCCCCGCTACGGCGGCAAAACTACATAATGTTCTCACAGTCGTATAAATAGTATACTTTCCCGGTTGAAACCTCTCACTATTAAACCAATAGTATGAATCGACCGAAGCGGTCATAAATATTATGGCCACTGACAGCTTAAAATACAAAGAGCGAAAGCCATGGCGAGATCCACGCAATCCAGCCAACGAAGTGGTGTCATTAGCCGATAAGATCATCCAAGAGCGAATCACCAAGCAACACGCGGGAACATAGTAAGACTGGACTTGTACGATACTCAATACAAGTAATCAAATTACTTGTAATTGGTTACTTCTTTGGGGTAATTTTGTAATCGCTCGAACACATTTATTAGGAAGTAATCCCAAGAGTAATCTGATTACTATTGAAAGTACTAAACTTAGTTGTAACCTTTACTATTGTTTCTTTCCCATCCTAATGGCGTCCTCTGTTTGTACACTTTTTCTACCAAGGAATCCTCGAACCAAGTCTCGGACAGAAGGAAGGTTTAACGAAATCGGCAGGTTAAGAAGATAAGTAGTTTCTAGTTAGGTGATTCTAAACTGATATTAGTTAGTACGAAAGGCGCGTTCGAAATGCGGCAGAATAATCGATCTTTTTTTAATATATCAAGTAATCGCAAAAGTAAGGGCAAATTACATTTCTTCTCGAGTAATCAAGTAATCTAGCTGAACACGTTTTAACCGTGCAATTGTAATTGTAATCGATTACTGTTTTGAGTAACGTGTGAAAAAATTAATTTTCAGTTTTTTTTTTTTTGTTTTTTTTTTAAGCTTGCAATTAGTATGGCCATACATTTTATTAATTATAAAAAAGCGTAATTATTTTAGCACGAACCAGTTGTGGGACACGTTGTCGGAAACTCGTAAACGGGAACCCGAAAATTCTCCGTACCGGGGAGTTAATATGGAAATAATAAGAAGGTCAATGGACCCGTATATATTGTGTTATTATTGTTGCTGTTTCCAAAATATTTTTTTAACTTACTCTAAGAGAGGTTTGTCCAAATACTAGTATCTAAATAATTAGATAATGTTTTCGTGTTTTTTTTTTAATTCTGAATATTTAGGTTGTAGGCAATCGATGAGCTCGGAAAGGCTTAACCAATTTAAAGGGACCATAAAATGATTTTCCAACTTCTTCCTTCTTAGTTTTATCTTAAAGTCAAAGGCGGACCATTTTGTTAAAACACACCAGACTGGGTGAGAAAGATGAAACAAACAAAAGTAGAACAGGCAGTATTTTTCACTGTGTTTTCGTTATTCGTACCTGAAGCAGGCTTAGTTCCCTTTTCATATACAGTTTGGTTTACATCGCCGTCGTCAACCACATTCTTGATTGAGACTTTCGCGGCCCTCAACAGTTAGTACGTCGGTTGGCAGAACTGAAAGCTGAAGTGGCCTTTTCGAAATATACCTTCGGAATAAGTTCGTTTACCCTGAACCCTTTAGGCACCTGTCCACACCTGCTATTCCATGGTCCACAAAGAAGAAGATTTTTAATACCTACAGAAACGGAGCAAGTAAAAACATTCTGGCCGACCGCAACGCCAGTGAAAGTCTGTGGTTTTTACTGCTAGGAAAGGACTACAAGCATCACAAAGACTATAAAACCAATGGGATGACATCAAGATGACCCACTTCAACGGGAATTGGTGCGTAAAGTGGAAGCATGTTTTGGACAGCGTTAATATGCTGAGCACTTGCGAAAACAAAGTGGAAAAGATGGTGCATGGAAATGTTGGGTTGTAGAAGCGCCAAGGATTTATTGATGATCCGAATGTAAACGACTTTCTGAATGTGTCCCGAGAATCTCTTAGAAACCCATGTAAAAAAGTTCTATCCAGAAGGACTGAAGAGCTTTCGACTAAGGGGCCCTTTTGACTAAGGGGCCCCAGTTTTATTTAAACGTAAAGCCGTCAAGATTGAATGTCTTCTCGTCGAATCAGACAGCTTCTAATATTTAGTCATGATGAAAGGCAGCATTTGTAGATCAAGCAGTTGGTCGGTAGCAAAGAATCATGGTCATGAATTACTCAACAGAAAGAAGAAACTTTAGAGAAGTAAATAGCTCATTCACGCGGCCAGCATAGAGTACCTTTAGCGTAGTTCATTTTGCAATCGGCGACCGAACCCGTTCTCTTGGGTAGCGAGCACTTGTCAAGCGCGGAGGTTCGCGAACGGATTCACCACTGGCCATGAAGGTCCCCTAGCAAAAGGTACATTTACGACTGTGTGCACGGGAGTACAAGAGCGGTTTGAGACGTCGTTTTCCTGACTTTTTTCTTTGTCTCTTCTACTTTTGATTGTTTCAAGATTATTTCTCCCAGTCTCGGGTGTCTTCACAAAATGGCAAACTCACACCAGCTCGCCTGCGCCCTCACTGTGTTTACGTCAAAAGTGGAATGGGAAATTACGTGGTCGTGACGTAGTTTTGCAACGCATGCGATAACTCCAAACTGCCACCGTGCTTTTTAAGCACACCATAGAACTTCTTGTCATTCGCCAGTGACGATAAGTTCCGTCAGGGCACTCATGGCCATGAATGCCACTTCAAATTTTCGTTGATGGATTGATTCTTACCAAGCGCATACGTCCGAGTGACGCAGTGCTCGTCTCCAATCTGTGACCTGGGTTCGGCTGACATGTTTGGGCACCACCAGTGCATCACAGTGAAAAAGCGGAAAGCTTTCGAAGGAGAAAGGTAAAAAATAATCCCCTATAATCTCAAATTTTCGTACCGAAAAACAGGCTTTTGACTTCCTACTGTCGTGTATTAGTTTTCTGTTGGGGCACCAAACGATACGTGATTAGTAAAATCCCAATTTATCCCAGCTCACGATTAATTTCATGGTTCCTTTAGAACAGACTTGTACACGTTACTGAAAAAATGTAACCGATTACAATTACAATTACTACAGTCAAAAAAGTAACCGATTACCGTTACTGATTACTGCCTCCCAGAAGTAATTGAACAATTACTGCAAAGTAATTGATTACTTTTCACGTTACTTTCACGTTACTTTTTATTGCGATGACAGAAATACACAAATACACAGTAAAATATTGCGTACACAATTTTGTTTGGTTATTGT